GTCTCATGTAGTTGAAGATGAATGTTATGAGATACTTCCTATAAATAATGACATAAATGCTATAGATGATATGGAAGAGTGAATAATTATTTTTGTTGTTCTAATATTTTTTTGAAGTCTTGTTAATTAGCTTGTTTGGATTGTAATGTACTTGTTTTAATGTTATCATTTTATTTGCCATAATTTATTATTGTTATTTGTATATATATTTCTGTATTGTATCTTATTTGCTTTCTCAGGTGAGCAATGTCGACGGAAGACATTTCTGTTGAGCCTATAGGTGATGAGTCTACAAGTACCGACATAGTTGATTTGGAGTTTGACGGTATGGGTATTCCCGTTGCACCCGGGAGGTACAAGTTGGCGGTGGCAATTAGTAACGAGGTTACACATTGGGACAATTTTGATCCGTCTATTTCATGGCCTAAGCACAAGAAAGAGGGTCGTGTCGAAGGATTGTGGAGAGCATTTAAGGTATTTGAAAGTTCAAATTATTTTATTTATTTCAGTTATTATAATTATTTTGTTATCAATTAATTATGAATTTTAGGTAACGTGGAAACTTCCTGAAAATGAGGCTACGAAGAAATGGTTCAACGAGACGGCCAATTGTCGTTGGAAAGATGCAAAAAATAAAAGATTGAAGGCGGTTTTTGATAAAGCGCCTAACCTTGCAGCTGCTAAGGCAAATCTTCCGGATAGGATTAGCGCTCAAACTTGGGAGAGGCTGTGTGATCAGTTTCATTCTATTTCTACTCCGGGGGATGATGGGAAGGTAATATGATTTTAATTTATGATTATATTTTCATATGTTTATGTGTATTAATTTGTGCAATATTTTTCACAGTCCAAGTCCACTAAATGCAAGGACTCAAGAAAGAAAGTGTCGACAGACCACCATTGGGGTCGAACAAGTATCAATAGTTGGTCCTATAATCATGTAAGTGGCTTAATCTATAATTTTAATTTATTTAAGTTTATATAAAATACATACTTATTGTATAATCTATTTTTTAGTTTAAAAAGTTTGGCAAAAATCCTACCGTGGTTGACACGTATAAGAAAGCCTACATGGGCATTGATGCGTTGAGGGAAACCGGACCATCTATTAGTGAGGAAGGAGAGACAGAGCCGTATAACGGGACAGCAACTCCTGAACAACTTCTCATTTCGGTAAGTAAAGTGTAATTATATTCTTCAATCGGTAGTATGTTTAGATGTGTGGCTATGGATTTTTTTTTTGAGTAAATATGGTTTTGGTTATGTTTAGATGTGTGGCTATGGATATTTTTTTTTTTAATATGTCAAGTTGTTGTTGTGTACTGGTAAGGATTTTTTTTGGGTATGCTCGTATTTAGATGTTATGCTGTCGAATTTTTTGCTAAACTTTTGTACATAATCATTTTCAGGCTGATTTGGAGCGAATTTATGACGAGACCATGCGTGATGGAAGTGACGAAAGCACGGCCAACTCGACTGCAATTGAAAAGGTTTTGGGAAAGAGTAAAGGCCTTGGAATTAAAAGTTCAAGCACAAGGATTGGAAAGTCGAGATTTTCTTCGACTCCATCAGACGTGGAGATTCAACTGGAGATTCAAATGAAGGCAATGCAAGAACAAATGCAAATGAAAGACGAACAAGTGAATCGATTGGAACAACAATTGAACGAAAACCGAGAAACAAATAAAGTTAAAGATGAAAAATTTGATCGATTAGAACAGCAATTGCAGGAAACCCGAGCTCTTTTGAACAACTTGCTCGAGCGTTTTAATGGTGGAGTATAAAAACGAGATGAAATTAGTGTGCCTCTTGAACTAATACATTTATGGTTTCAAGTTTTTATGTAATTTTTGAATTGATGTTCGTGTTGTATTTTGATATTTAATTGGTAATCGTGGTTTTTAATATTTTTGAGTAAATATGGTTTTGGTTTTTTTTTTTTTATTTTTTTTTAACAGGGGATTTTATTTGTAATAAAAAATAATTAAAATAAATAAATTAATCAAAAAAAAAAAACGTTTGCGACGAAATATAATTCAGTGTTCGTCGCAAAAAAAAATAGAACCGGGCGACGAAACAACTATTTCGTCGCCCACAGATTCGGTGAACTTGCGACGAATTAAACAAAATTCGTAGCAAATACATGCGACGATATTAGTTTTCCGTCGCTAACAATAAAAAAATAAATTTTTTC